AAAATAAGTTTTGAAAAAATGATAATTGATTTCTAAAAGAATTTTTTATAAAATGGAAAAAATGATTGAAAATGATGGATTATCTGTCATTTTTTTACTAAAAAAACAAGATTTGTAACGAAAATTTCGGACGTGCTAGGAACGATTAAAAAATGTAAAAAAATACCCCAAAAATACATTGATCTTTCATCTTTAATAATATGAACATTAGACGATAAAATTTTGTTTTCGTCGAGTTTGGCATTTTTTTCATCATGCTATGCTCTTTTTGTTTACATTTCGTGAAGGTACCTACTTTAATTATTTAAAATTATTTTTTCATATCAAATATAAGTATGTATATTACCAGCTCCCAATTTATTATTTTATTTTTAAATATTATTTAAGGAAAATTTTTAACAAGGACGGCAAAGAATACCTATTTCATTTCTCTGATTCAGTAAATTTTTATTTTTTATAAACTTAGTAATATATAGTTTCTCATGTATGCACAAAGGACATGGGTCATTTAATGACCTACATATTCTAGATTTTCTTATTAATTTTCATTTTGCTGTAAGTGTTTTATATATATATATATATATATATATATATATATATATATATATACAGATGCATGTTTCATTAAATAATATAGACAAGTTGTGTCTATTTATTTTAAGTAAATTCCTTTCATATTGTCTGATAAGCTCAATAACATTATCATTGAAAGACGAAAGGAAATCACCATATTGATACATGTTTAAATCCGATCTAAGCTTTCGGCTTACATAAGCCATTATCAAAGATGACAATTACATTTCATTATATCAAACAATACACGGACGAAACAACAATGATAGTCTGTTTTTGTTGCAGGAAAGATTTCAAAGCAACAACAAACATCGTGTATACGAGACGCGGAAGCGAAAATTGGGTTGCAGCTCATGACGTCACACATGACGAGAGTGAAAACGAGAAGTATTAAGTATTAAGTATGGGAAGCCGTTGATAATGTTATTAAGCTTATCCGACAATATGAAAGGAACTTACGTAAAAATAAATAGACAAAACTTGTCTTTATTATTTATCGAAACATGCATCAATTAAAAATTGCTGCCTATATATATATATATATATATATATATATATATATATATATATATATATTAAACTATTTTCTTTTTGTTAATCACATGATAACGGAAACGTATTGGAAATTGTTGAATGGAAGGTCAAAATCCATAAATCCAGAAAAAAATGTCAGTTAATCCTTCCAAAAATTAGAAAAGGCAATATTTAGATGTGGTAAAATGTCAGAAGCCATATCTGTTATTGATCTTTAATGTTTTATCTGAAACATCAGCGAACAAAAATCAAACGCAGATTCAGACATTAAACCATAAATCTCCATATCTATTTTGATGCAAAAATACTTTTCTTACACAAAAGAATGAATATTTCAATACTTCGCGATCAAGCACTAACAAAGGTTCTGTGACTTTAAAAGTCAAGCACGATTAATATAATGAAGCCTGTTCAAAAATTTGAATGTATATTTTTTACAATGATGTTCACTCTTTACAAATCTCAAGAGTCACTTAGTATAGAGATTTAGAGAGGAAGAGGCACATTTTATGCGGATACGTGCGGAAGATAAAGTTTGACTCTAGACTTGAGCAGATTAAGATGGTAGTGATTAAGGAAGCATCCTCTTGGGATTTGGTTCCACAAAGAAGCTGTCCGTGTTGAGAATTTTCCCGAGGAAAATCTATATCTTACCAATAGAATACAAAGGAAATGAGGCTGTTTCGCTGCAATATTCCTGGCATAGTAGGGCTTAGGTGTGAAGTTTAGAACGAGTGTATCTAAGAAATTAAGTTCAACTGAACACTTTCTATAGTAATAGCGATAAAGCAGTGAGAAGCTTGCAACTTTTCGTATGTGGGAAAGAGGTTGTAAAGTGGAAAATAATTCATCCCTCAAAGACGCGGAGACGCTTTCAGATTTTATCGAAACTAGAAATCGATGACTGCTAAGTCTCTACCTATCAATGGCAGCGTTATTCCATTTTTATGCTTACTTGTTGATACTAATAGCTATCTGCTAATGTGTTAAAATTTTGGAAATAATGCAATAATAAAAATTTAAATTTCATCTCTGATACATATTGCGATCTGTGAATGTGATCTGACTCTTATTACGATAGAAAATGCAAGAGGATTTCGATACTTTCTGTAATGGACACAAGGAACCGATCATTGTTCCGGCTTCTTTAGCAATGGGTCATATATATGAGTTCCCTCTAAAGTTCTAGCGTCCCAACAGAAGTTTAAAGTTCAATGATTAACTACTTTCAATAATTAAATGTGTAAGGTTACTTACAGGAACATTTTATAGTACATGAAATAATGTTGGTGAAAAAGAGTACATGACCATTTGAATTGCAATGCAAGATAACATTTATTAAACAAAATCAACAAAAGCGACGATTAAAACAAGAGTTTTTGTTAGACTTATATTGTAAACACAACGAAATACTCATGAATATGTTATGAGAACCTGCTTTGTTTGTGTGTTTTAGGTGAAGCATTCACAGATCTTTTTGCTTCAGCGTTGAAAGTTCATGACACCAGTTCAGAAGAGGAAAAACCCGGAACAGAAAGCGTTACTTCAGATTTTACGTGTTTTTATATTCACGAGCTGCTGCTGCTGCTAAGTTTTATTTTAGAGCTGCTACTGCTATTATGTTTGTCACTACAAAAACAAGAAGCCGCTTTGAGAGTGCAAGCATTCATCGTGGCTGGAATGGATTCAGTTTACTAGTAGGTTTTTGAGGTAGTGAAAATTGCAGGGTCATAATTAAACCTATTTCACATCTTCATAACATTTTCCTTTTTTCCAGATGTATTTTCCAACACAGCAAAAGAATGTACAAAATATTTAAAAACGAAAAATGCATATAAGTGATAGCTATAAAATCGAAGACGCTAAACAATCTGCAAGGCTCTGGTCATCTCTGACTAATTAATTTTTACGGGATGGAATTGTAAGCCCCAAGTCTAAGCGGTCCTGAATTCAGAGTTTTCGTTCCCCTAGACTGGTGGCCAACCAAATATAGAGAGCCTATCCGGCCCTGCGATTTAAAATGTAGCTGACAGGATGAGATATGGATATGAGCAGTTGGACTGATGGAAAAGTATCGGCCTGAATTTGAACACAGACCGCTGATTTCATCTTAGCGCCGATAACAACTACGTTACCCACGTATCAACGTTTTATTGTATCACAGAGAATTACAATAAAAATGAAACAGTGTTTCAATGTTCCGGTTTAATCAAGCATAAATCATTTTGCTGAATTTATTTCGAAGGAAGATTTTTTTTTAAATTGACTTCAAAAACCCATTATATTTTTACTAAGTTTATTTCATTTTGACAGAAAGTTACAAATATAGTTTACCCAGTAAGGATCGAACGCACAGCTTATAATCAATCAGAGGAGTCTATTGACCCTAACTGCACACTAAGGCGCGACATCGATGCAGTTTTGTTGCCTGCACAGATATTTTTGTCTGCGGATAAAAACTTCATTATGAAAGAATGAGTTTGGGGTTCACCCACACGGACGAATTGCGTTTGCGAGCAAAATAAAATGTCGACGAGGCTGAGATGATGGATGTTTGCCAGAACCTTGGCTTCATCGATTTTTTTCCTTTTTTAGTAAGATGGAGGTGACTATTCTTTCTGAGTTTTACGTTGGCATTATTGTTAATAACACGAGTAACAAGAAAACATTAAGAAAAAAATTAATTACGATTAATAACGTGTGTGACGTGTAGGATTTAAGCGAGACATTTATGGTAACAAAGAAACTCTAAGGCAAAAATTATTGACAGTAACATCGGTAACAAGTAATTGTATGGAAAAATGAATCCCTATTAGTAACATTGGTAGCGAGAAGCTTTAAGGGAAAATTAATTACTGTTAATAACATGGGTAATGAAGAAGTTTTAAGTAATAATTTAGTTGGCGTTAGTAAAACGAATAAAGAAGAAAGTAAGAAAAACATAAATTAATAATAGTAACGTGTGTAGCGAGAAAGTTTTAAGGGAAATAAACTACTTTTAATAACATTGGTAACGAAGAAACTTTACGGTAAAATATTACCGCTGGTTATGTGGCTAACGTATTTTTAAGGTAAAATTTTGTGAGTAATAAGGAATTTTTTATGATGTTGGAAACAAAAAGAAACTTTACATAAGAAAGAAGATTCGTTTTCTGGGAGGAAAATGGGGTTTTGAAAATTCAATACCAACAGGACATCTTGAAGGCAAGAGTAAGAGAAAAGGAAAGATCAAATAAAAACCTTCACTATTTATTAGTAAACTCAAGTATGAACAACCAGTAGTCACTTATTGATTTAATTATAAACTGAAATGTTCTGTTATAAAAACATAAATGAGCGATGTTTACTAACGTACAAACGACATATATAGTTGTATATAGAAAAGTATAAATGACAAATATTAGTTTTTAGACACAAGTAGAACAGGTCATTATTTAACTATAGACTCAAGTATAAACGACAAATATTTACTTATAAACTCAAGTATAACAGATTAATATTTAGCTATGGACTCAAGTATAAATAGATATTATTTATTAGTTTCCAAATAAATTGAAGACTTAGATACTTCGTGAGTGGTTAATATGTCACAAAGTCTACCAACCAACCAACCAACCAACCAACCATCGCCATTTATTTTATGATAAATCAGCTTTTCAAATAAGGTATTTAAAATTGTTTGCTGAAATGCGGTAATAATAATAATAATAATAATAATAACTCACATCGACGAATATTTTTCTTTTTAATAAACAAATGCTGAGATTGTTTTCTTCCTTAAGAGATTTAATGAAAATCGATGTTTCAATTTCCGTCCAAAAATATTTTTTCCAGTACGTCGATTCGTACAAGAGATTTATTGCTTTAACTGCAGTTTGATCGTATGTTTTAAGTACCTCCCTCCCTCCCTCACTCAATCTCTCTCTCTCTCTCTCGCTCTCTCTCTTCTTTTTTTCTTCCTCAATGTTCGTCTCTATTTAAGTTTTAGGCGGACCCAGGTCTCCAACGATATTGACGAGGTTAGTTCAAGGAGACTAAATCATTTTTTTTTTTATTTATTTTTTAATCATTTCATCCCAAGCAAAACTAGTACGTAAGGGTTACAGAGAATGAAGGTGAGAGAAAAGACTGGGTATTGGGGGGGGGTACAGGATAAAAGATGACCGGGGTTCAAGTCAACAGAAGATGGCGATTGACGTTGCATTTAATTTTTTGAAGATTGTAGTTATCAGGGAAATAAGTAAACGGAAGTGAGTTCCACTGTCGGGAAGCGCGAGAAAAGAAACTGTTGGAGTAGAGGAGGCGGTTACATTTAATTATTTCAACAGTAAAAGAGTGGGACCTAGATGCCAATCTAGTACTACGTTTAATACCATGTAGTTAGGGCACCATGATTAAATGCTCGTCAGAGCAGTTGCCATGAAAATATTTGTAGAAAAAACAGAGGGAAGATATACCACGTCTGTAAGAATTCTGGGATATCCAGCAGAGTTTAGGAACTGGGAAGACGGAAGTAGGCAACACCGTCTAACAACCACTTCCTTTTGGGGGCGCGGGGGGGTATCTGGTTGAACTCACTTTTACAACTTTTTCCTTTTTCTTTAAAAAAAAAAAAAGTAAAAGACAAAAACTAGCCCTTTCAAACTTGGTTGGCCAAAGCCAGTCAGTCACAAGCTTCGTTAAATGCTGCAAATCAAATTATTATTACATTAACACAATTTAGTACCAACATATATATATATATATATATATATATATATATATATGTATGTTTGTGTGTGTGTTGTGTGCGTATGTGTGTGTGTGCGCGCGGACGGAATGCAGGAGTATGTGACCTAACACCTGCATTAGATATTGAAAGCGTGAGGACGATGTTGTTGGACACATTTATACGCTACATCCACAGGCAGTCGCAAGCAGTCTCTCTCAAATCTCAAACGAAAAATATAGGATGTACATATCAGGTCCTAGTAAGTGAAGAAATATTAGAATGAATAAAAAATTTAATTACGATTCGGGTTTCGTGTTATTATTTTGCCGGTGCACTCGCTTCATTACGCATACGATGTCTAATAAAAAAAAGAATATCGGTGCTGGTGCTATAAAACGAAAACTATACAACATACCAATTCAAGATTTAATCTCCTTCAAAGTAGTCCCCTTCTGAAACCTTGCACTTCATTCAACGTTGCTTCTTTGGATGGAAATATATATTTTTTTTTTGCAATAGCGATCAGGTGTCACGTCGCATTCTCTTCAATTGGGTTGTCTCGACGTCTTGAAATCCCGAAGAGGATTTGATATATGAAAAAAACCAAAAAGGTCTCGGGCAACGTCTGGGAAATATGGTGATTATCGGAACTGGGGAATGTTATGCTTAGCCAAATAACTGCTGAACTAGCTACGGTCACTGATGGTAAATCATTGGTGTGGTGAAACGACCACACTCTACACACTTTCCTTCCAAGCACTGCTATAAACGACAGGAGTGAAGAATAATATTATAACTTAGTGTGCAATGGGTGACAGTGTTCACTGTCAGTCTGTTTCAAGCGGCTCCACACTGGTTAATTTAGCTCTGTTAACATAGCAACATACCCGATACATTTTTATCGGGATTCGTACACATACGGGCGTGATGTTGATTATGAAAGTTGCCCGCTTGCTGTACGATAACGGACGCAAAAATGGTCGCAGTGGGCGACATTACTCCACCCTATTCTCGATAGTAAACGTGCACTTGTTCATAGTTAATCATATCTTGCACAAAAATTTGTGAACTGTCACCATCTGTCTTCATCTAATGAAAAGAACGCGTTAATATAATTTGAGACTGCTTGTGTCGCTTCCAATTTGAATAGTCTATTCGTAAGACACAGGCAAGTTCATTAATGTTCGAATCTGATGTTTGGACATGCTTCAGGTATTTGCAAGCGGAACCCCATGTAAATAGCTAATAGATTCGTCGATGCTCAATTTCTGTATTCAAACGAGAACCAGGACATTCAGCAATATATGAAACGTTCTGAATAACTGTTACAACTTCCCAAAGAATACTAGGATGAAGACAGGAGAATTCTAACTACCACTCAGACAACACATTGGTTCTTGAAAATGCCATATTACTAACATCCTTCTTTTTATGTCATAGGCCAACATAATGAAATAGAAATCATTATTTTCGAAACGACCTTCATGAATCTAAAAATCCCGAGTTATGTCCATAATACACGTGTCACATCTGGACATCTATATGGATGTCATGCATGGCGACAAACTCGTTTAGAAACATGGAAACAGTCAACACTATGCAACGATTTCTCAGATTGAGAGTTAAAGGTGGCTTTGAGTAAATGATTGACAAACCTTCGAACCCACGTGGACTGACACTGATAAAGAATCAGGGACAAATAACTACGCCAAATAGCAGAAACAACATTACTTGCGAACTTTAAACAACAACTGAAATGTATAGTACATATAACTCGAAGGGAATATGATGACATTATGAAGATGTTGTCATTCTACACTACATCAAACAAAAGGTTAGGAAGAAAACTGCTCTCAATATTGCGAAGAGCGATATCAGTTACTGGACTTAATAAAACTTATTGTCAGGAAATTTGCTTTGATTAAAAGATTTAATGAATTTCAACCACTAACTATATCACTGTTCGTCAAAGCATTCTGAATATTTCTTTATAAGGAAACAGCTATTACTATTAACACTCGTAAAACATATATTTCCGTATATAAAGCGAACTTTAAATCTTAAAAATTAGCACCCAAAATAGGGGAAGTCGTCTAATACAACAGTTACCAAAAGTTAATCTTAAATCATGTGGTGTATCGACACTGGTAATTAGGCTGGTACGCTTGCGTCATGGATCGCGTTAGACTAACAACTGCTTCGGTCTGGTAACTATCGATGTAAATACTTCTAATTGAAACAAATCACGTTACAATCCTGTACTACAGTTATTAATGTAATATAACTACATTTAATTCTTGATTTCACATTAAAATGCAATATTAAAGAGAGGATTACAAAACAATTTGCAAAATTTCCGCTTAGCAACACTCATGAGTAACAAGTAAGGAAAAGAAATCTTTCGTTCTTAATTCGTAGAGCTATGTCTGCTTTCACACCAGTCATTAGTCTTCATTGTTGTGTTAAGATAACAACATTCAGGATAATATAGATTCTATATTTCTAATTAAAATCTGTTATCATTGAGGTGTTAAATAACAACATTAAGTATAACATGTAAACTTTATTTTTCAATAGCATACATTATATGGTATTTTTTCCGGTGTTAAGGAACAAAACATTTAAGATGCCACAGAATCTCTATTTCCCATCACAGAATACGCAGCTTTTGTATTCATTAGAATGAGTCGTAAGATTGAAATCTTTATTGTTATTTTCATAAAGATACATGATTATATTTTTTTATTCCTCATGATTTGATGAAGATAAATGTAATCAAAACATTTGTAACAACATCAGTTTTATTTTTTATTCTTGCAGGTATCATTATAAGAGGCTCAACTGCCAATGGCAGCGTAGGGGAACCTACGTTTTCGTTCGTCTCATCCTGCTATCAGATAAAATAACGAAAGTTTATATACATTTTGTGTCTCGTCTCATTTATAGATCGCTTTATACCTGGAAATATATATATATATATATATATATATATATATATATATATATATTGAAAAATTCGGAATATAAGAGCATACCATGCAGAAAAAAGTCCCAAACTTGATAAAATCAAAATATTTCTTCATTTTTTTTTGTTGTTAATATTAGCAGAAAAGACCAAGGTATTTTTTATAGTTTTATTAATTTTTTTAATCATTTCAAGCTCGTTCGAAATTTTGGCTAAAAATCTTGTTTTTCTTACGTCAACAGATAGAGCTAAGATTCGTATTAGGAAATTTAGTGTTTTTTAGAGGTAAAAAGCACATTGTTGTTTGGAAATAATTTCAAAAATCAAATAATTGTTGGATTTTAATGAAACTTCCAGAAATTATTCACAAATAAATGTTATTATTATAGAATTTTTTTGTTTTTAGAAAACATTGGTAAAAATATATTTTTTACATCTCTTTCCCCCACGTAAGTAATTTTATGAAATTACGAGAAATTTAAGTTCCAGACTCTTCAGCCTTATATTAGTCAAAAGCAGGATTCCTTGGAGAATTTAAATCATCTGTTTGTTTTTATCAAACAGGAACACCATTTACCGAATATCTGTTCCGAATCGTAAAATAAAAAGACAATAAAACTATGACATTACTTAATTTGTAAAACGTTTAATTGCTTTTCTAAATAAGATATATTAAGAACACTATTTTATTAAGAAAAATTTCGATAAGTAATGAAATTTTACAAGAAATAATTTGACTGTTTTTAAATGTTAATTAGAAGGATTTTTTTAAGTTTTAAATCTCTTAAAATACTGTATTAATTTCACTCTTTTAGATTATAGTGTTATTAAGTGAAAACTATATTTAATAATCATAAAAATCATAAATGCAAAATCTTAATACAAATCATCAAACATCAATATTTTTTATATAATTTTGTATTTTTTGTATGTGTATAAACGTGATAATTTTTGTAAGTACGGGCTACCACAGATGATATTATTAGAAAATAAGAGCGGTGACTTCAGTAAATTTAAAGTCAACGTTCACAAAATTCAATAAAATACTAGATTACGGAGAATATTTTCTAAATTTTTAAGATTACTGAATTCTTAAAAATTAAATAAAAATTGTGTTCAAGTCATTTTTTTCAGTTATGTTTTACTGATAAAATTTCCTAGGTTCGTAATTCGTTCTGTCAACACATCAACATAGATACTGTCGAGTTAAAAACATAACTGCTACCTGATTAAAATACATTTCTGCGGTATTTTAAACTTAAAGTAAATAATATGTGTTTCAAATCAGATTAGTTATACTTTAAATCAGCTAATATTATTAAAATAAAGTTTTAGGAAAGTAT